ATGGCTGTGAATAGGCCCTGAGCCCCGCAGGAGGATGGAGCTGGGCCACAGCCAAACTCAGCCCAGGCCAAAGCTGGGCTCAGCAGCCAGGGCTGCCAACACACGGGCACAGAGGCTGGCACTGACAAATGTCCTGGGCCCCCTCCCTGCTCTGTCCATGCCACCAAGGGCACAGAGCAGCCTCCTCTCTGGGCCACATGCCTGTTTGCAATGCCTTGCACAGGCGCTGGCCCTTCCCCACAAGGCCTGGCCGGAGTCCTGTCCCTGCACGCTCAGGCAGGCTGAGGTGGACACTGATGGTTTCTGGGCCAGGCTCTCTGAGCCCAGCTCCCTGCAAGCTCTGCCAGCTGCCCTGAGCTCTGGGCAGCACCAAGGGCCTCTCCCCAGCCCAGCCCAGCCGGCTCTGGCCCCACAGCTCTGCTCAGGCCAGGCTGCTCTGGGCACTGCCCCACGGCCTCAGCCCCTGGCAAGGGCACAGCAGCAGCTGCAGCTGCCACAGGACTCAGCCCCAGCCATGGGGGGAAGGTGCTTGGCCAAGGCCAAAGGAGGCTCCCTGGCTTCCCTGCTCCCCTTGGGCTGAGGTGCTGAGAGCTCTGCAGCCCCTGCTGCCATCCCATCTGCCCAGGGCAGCACAAGAGCCCCAGCCTTGGGGCCCTCAAGAGTTGCTCCTGCTCCAGGCCCAGGGCCCATGCCAAAGCTGGGGCAGCCACAAAGCTGTGCCCATTTCTGTTCATTGTTGCTCTGATGGGGATGGATCTGCTGGCACTTGGAGGTTGCTCATGAATTTTACTACTCCAGAGGCCTCTTCTTTCTTGAGCTCTTCAGTTCAGGAATTCACTGGAAAAGGCTGTTAAACATTTCTTCAAATCACCCAAACAAGACAAGCCCTTGGGAATAATATAAGTTTTCAGTTCTTCTGTGATTAATTACACACATTTCAGAAATGTATTCAAAGTGAATATACTGTACTGAAAAAAATGCAGAGAGAACTGTTTTGTCCTATTTTTTTCCTGTTTATAGATTGATATCAGCAATGCAGTGTCCAGTTGATATTGACCCCCAGCAGCTCCTAATGCAGCATGAATACATATGAAAATCAAGACCCTTTATGGCTGACAATCAATCAATCAATCACAATTTCTCCCCACCATTTCCCTTATCCAACCCCTGGCACTCCTATGGATCAGGAATTGTGTGCCCAGCAGGAGCAGGGCAGTGATTCTTCCCCTGTGCTCAGTACTGGTTGGGCAGCACACTGTTAGGTCACAGGAACTGGCTGCCCAGGGCAGTGGGTGAGTCACTGTCCCTGGAAATGTTTATGGAAAGACTGGATGTGGCACTCAGTGCATGGTCTGGGTGACAAGGTGGTGTTGGGTTCCAGGTTGGACCTGATGCTCTCCAAGGTCTTTTCCAGCCTGGTTGATTCTCTGATGATTGTGACACTGCAGGGCCCTGGGGAAGCAAGGGGCCATTGTGACACTGCGGGGCCTGGTGGCACTAAGAGGACCATGGTGACATTGTGTACGACATGGCAGGACAGAGCCAAGAGGCCATTGTGACACTGTGGGACTGAATGGAAGCAAGGGGTCCATTGTAACAGTCTGGGTCCTGGTGGAACCACAGAGGTCACTGTGACACTGCAGGACCTTGTGGAACCAAGGGGCCATTGTGCCATTGCAGAACCAAGGAGACCGTTGGGAGAGCATGGGCACAATGGAATCAAGGGGCCATTGCTCCATTGCAAGGACTCTGGGAACTGAGGGAACAATTGTGACCCTGTGGTGCCCCATGGAACCAAGGGTCCCTGGTGACACTGCAGGATCTTGTGTCACCAGGGCTCCATTGTGACACTGCAGCACCAAGGAATTCATGGTGGCCCTCTGAGGCCTCAGGGAACCAAGAGGCCACTGTGACCCTGCAGGGCCTTGTGGAACCATGCAGGGCATTGTGACAGAGCAGGACCTGGTGTCATGATGGGGCCATTGTGACACTGCAGGGCCCCATGGAACCAAGGGGACAGTGCTGCTCCTCAGTGTCACATATTTTATGTGGACATATTTTATGAAAAATCCTTTTGCTAGGTATTTTTCTCCTGAGAAGCAGAGATGCCTCAGAAATGAAATGTAAGCAATAATTATCTGCTGCTTTGGAATGCAAAGGGGGACCTTGATTGGTCTCATGTGGTGGTTTTTAATGTCCAATCACAGTTTGGCTTTCTCGGACTCTCTGGTCAGTCACAAGATTTTATTATCATTCCATTCTTTTCTATTGCTTGCTAGCCTTCTGATGAAATCCCTTCTTCTATTCTTTTACGATAGCTTTAGTATATAATTTTATTTTAATATATATAATATATATCATAAATTTATAAATCAGCTTTCTGAAACATGGATTCAAGTTTCTTGTCTCTTCCTTTGTTCTGTGACCCCTGTGAAAACCACCACACCTCAGGTACTCCTGGAATAAAGGAAACATGTTTGACAAGGTGGTGGCCCTTGGGACCAAGAGACCATTGTGACACTGTGGAACCAAGGAGAGCATTGCTGCACTGCCAGACCTCATGGAACCAAGGATACACTGTGACACGGAAGGCCTTGGGGGCCAAGGATCCATTGTGACACTGCAGGGCGCAAGGATCCAAGTGACTTTGTGACATCAAGGGGTCCCTTGAAACCAAAGGGACATTGTGACACTGGGTGGCCTCATGGAATCATGGAGAGCATTGGGACACTCGGGGGCCTCATGGAACTCTGGTGACACCAAGTTGTCTGGGAATGTTGATCTGCTGCAGGGTAGGAGGGCTCTGCACAGGGCCCTGGACAGGCTGGATCCAGGGCCCAGATCCAAGAAGGTGACGTTTCACAAGTCCAAGTACCGTGTCCTGCACTTTGGCCACAACAACCCCTGCAGCACTACAAGCTGGGGACAGAGTGGCTGGAGAGCAGTCAGGCACAAAGGGACCTGCAGGGACTGATGGAGAGCTGGCTGGGCATGAGGCAGCAGTGTGCCCAAGTGGCCAAGAAGGCCAATGGCTCCTGGCCTGGCTCAGGAATGGTGTGGCCAGCAGGAGCAGGGCAGGGATTCTTCCCCTGTGCTCAGCACTGTTTGGGCAGAACCTCAAGTGCTGTTTGCAGTTCTGGGTCCCCCATATTTAGGAAGAACATGGAGGGGCTGGAGCATGTCCAGAGAAGGGTAGCAAGGCTGGGGAGGGAGCACAAGTCCTGTGAGGAGCAGCTGAGGTAGCTGGGGTTGTTTATCCTGGAGAAGTGGAGGCTCAGGGCAGACAAGGCGGTGTCAGGGCACAGGGTGGTTTTCATGTTCTCCATGGCCTGTTCCAGCCTTGCTGATTCTGGGATTCTCTGGAACCACCCTTGGAGCAGTCACAGGATGAGCCCTGGGCCTCCTCTTCAGGAGCTCCAGCAGCCCAGGCCCCTCAGCTTCTCCTGCCAGCCCCAAAGCCCATCCTGTCAGTCCTGCAGAGCCTCTGCAGCTCCTCCTCCACTGCCCAGAACAGGGAGCCCCAGAGCCAGACACAGCAGCCCAGATGTGCCTCTCTGGCCTGGGGTGCCTCTGGCAAGGGAGCAGCACCAGGCACTGCAGGAGCCTGCAGACAATTCCTGCAGCACTTGTAGGATGATCCTGCTCCCCAAGGGACGTTCCCATGGGGCCAAGTCAGGAACTGCAATGGGGAGTGGGGCCAGAGAGAAAAGGGGAAAAAGGGATGGGCTGTTTGCAGGGGAGGGAAGAGGGGTGGGCAATAGGAAGAAATTTGCAGCAGGAAGAGGAAAGAAAGCAAAGGTGAAGCCAAGGAAATGCTCAGGGCAGTTTGGGGGTCGCTGCCAGGCAGCCCTGGCTCTGAGCAACAGCGTCTGCAGTGGGACAGGAAACTCCCATCTGATGGGAACAAACTTTCTGGCTGACTGCAGAGGCCAGGACAAAGCTGAGTGGTTTCCCTGGTGTCCCCCAGCCCTTGCTGGCCCCAGGGGCTGATGGCATTTGTGCTCCCTCAGGGTCCTGTCCCCACAGCGTCAGCATGGGGGTGCTCCCGCTGCTGTGTGCAATGCAAAGAGGGGCTGCGGAGCCAGGGCTGCCGTGTCTGTGCCTGCAAGGATGGGGCACCTGTGTGAGCTGGGGGAGAGGCCAGGGCTGCAGAGGGGGGATGTTGTTGGCAGCTCCATGAGGATGCTCTGGGACGCTGCCCTGGGCTGTGCAGCGCACTGGGGATGGATCAGCCCCTGCTCTGCTGCTCCTTCCCATCTGCCCCAGGGCCCTTGCAGAGCCCCAGCCATGCTGTTTGCCCCTAGCCTGCCCACGGCCAGCCTGAGGCTGCTCACGGGGTTTTCTGTGCAGAGCATTGGCCTGGGCGTGTTCTTGAGAGAGCCTGGGCAAGGAGCCTGGAGCCCCCAGGCCCTGGGCTGAGGTGTCAGCGCTGCCCCAGCAGTGCCCATGGCCTGTCCCTGCTGCAGCCCCGGCACTGCCACACCCAGGGCTGTGCCTGGCCCCGAGAGCACTCAGGCCCTGCAGCAACACCAGGGCCACCAGGGCAGCGGGGCAGGGCCATGGCAGCAGCACTGGCAACACCAAGTGCTGCTGCTGCTGGGCACAGCTGCTGGGCCAGCACTGATCTGCCCCCAGCTCTGCACACAGACATTGCTGCTGCACCTCCAGACAAGTCAACAGAAGGGGAATCTGTAGTTAAAACTTTGCTGGGAGAGCCTTTAGTTCATTTACAGCCACTAAAAGCACAGCTCCTCCTTGACAAGTCTGGGGCCACAGGACAATTTAAGAGAAAGAAAATGAGAAATGGAATAAAGAAAAGCCTAGATTTAGAGACAATAATACAAACTAAAACAGAGGGGAAAAAACCCCAAATCAACAGAACTATCCAAGATGACTTTTATTATAGATTATTTGCAGAAACTGGCCAGCCGTTTAATGTTTCTGAAACCATCCAGTTGTCAGTCTCCACACTGTAGCCTTGAGCTCCTGGTTCCTCAGGCTGTAGATGAGGGGGTTCAAAACTGGAGGAACCACCAAGTACAGAACTGAAACCACCAGATCCAGGGATGGGGAGGACATGGAGGGGGGCTTCAAGTAGGCAAAAAAGCCAGTGCTGATGAACAGGGAGACCACAGCCAGGTGAGGGAGGCAGGTGGAAAAGGCTTTGTGCTGTCCCTGCTCAGAGGGGATCCTCAGCACAGCCCTGAAGATCTGCACATAGGAGAAAGCAATGAAAACAAAACAACCAAAAGCTATAGAGATAGAGAAAAGAGAAACCTCAATTTCCCTGAGGTAGGATTTGGAGAAGGAGAGCTTGAGGATCTGAGGCATTTCACAGAAGAACTGGCCCAGGGCACTGCCATGGCACAGGGGCAGGGAAAATGTATTGGCTGTGTGCATGACAGCACTGAGAAAGGCACTGGCCCAGGCAGCTGCTGCCATGTGGGCACAAGCTCTGCTGCCCAGGAGGGTCCCGTAGTGCAGGGGTTTGCAGATGGACACGTAGCGGTCGTAGCACATGATGGTCAGGAGGAAATACTGTGCTGAGAGGAAGAACATTATGAAAAAGAGCTGTGCAGCACATCCTGAGTAGGAGATGGTGCTGGTGTTCCAGAGGGAATTGTGCATGGCTTTGGGGACAGTGGTGCAGATGGAGCCCAGGTCAGCGAGGGCCAGGTTGAGCAGGAAGAAGAACATGGGCGTGTGCAGGTGGTGGCTGCAGGCTACGGTGCTGATGATGAGGCCGTTGCCCAGGAGGGCAGCCAGGGAGGTGCCCCGCAAGAGGCAGAAGTGCAGGAGCTGCAGCTGCCGCGTGTCTGCCAATGCCAGCAGGAGGAAGTGCCTGATGGAGCTGCTGTTGGACATTTTTTCACTCTGGCCATGGTGGACTGTTGAAAGAAGACATTGACAAGCGCTTTGAGTCAATCCTATGAGGTTATTTTAGGAATTCCCTCAAAACTACTTTTCTATCTGTGGGGGAATTTCACTAAGCTTTTTTTATTTTTGATTGGGTTTATGCTTTTGAGTCCCTTCCTCATCTTCAGCATTGCTCTCAGCCTGAACCCCAGGGAAGCCCAAAAGGGAAAACAGGGCTCCCTGTGCCCCAGAACAGTCAGACCTGCTGTTCCCACAAAGGTGCCCTATGCCTATTACATCTCCTCTTATTTCAGGGTGATGAAATTTTAAACATGTTTAAAAACAAAAGTGGAGTTTCTAAAGACTCCAGTTTCAAAGTCAATTTCTCTAAGCCCGTCTCTCTTTCCCAGTGCACCTGAACAGAAAGGGATACCAAGGATGGGTCTGGCTCTCTGCTGCCTGTAACTTTGCCTACTAGGAACTGTTCCTCTCTATCCAAGCCTTGTCCCTGCCAGTGCTGCCAGAGCCCAGCCAAGCCCTGGGGACTCAGCTGTGCCCTGCAGACACCTCCCAGCACAGGGCACTTCCCAGGGGCATCTCCATGGCAGCAGGGCCTTAAGGGCAGGCCAGACAGAGATGCTGCAATCCAAGGTGCTGCTGCTGCTCTCTGTAGGGAGAGGAGGCTAAGGAGGCTTTCTGAGGGAGATCTGGGGCCCATCTGCTGATGCCCAGGCTGACAGTGCAGGAGTCTCAGTGACACAGCCAAAGCTGACAGCCCCTTTCCCTTCCCTTCAGGAGAAAGCTGAGAGCAGCCCTGGCCATGCAGCACCATCTCCAGAGCAGGAGGAATCTGCTCTGATGGGGGTGGCTCCTTCCACCTCCAACTTCTCCCCAGCAGCGTCCATGGGAAGCTGCCAGGCAGGCTGGGAGCTGCCCCTGGCAGGTGGCACATGCCCTGGGCTGGCCAAGAGCCCTGAGGGCTGCAGGAGCTGCTCTGCAGGACAACCCTGGCTGCACATGCAGTGCATGTTCATGTCCCAGTCATGCTGTGCTATGGCTGCTTTGCAAGTCTGCTTTAAGCCAAATAAATAGGAGCGATAATATCAGGAAGGGGAAATTCCGAGCTGGCCCTGTTGTGCCTTCTCCTCCTGCTGCCTTTGCTGATCCAAGTCTTGGCCAGCCCCCTGGCCTGTTGGCTCAAGATGCTGATCCCCTGGAAAACCTTTTTGTTCCAATGGGCTTCCAACACAGCCAGAGCTCTGAGCCAGGTCCTGGCAGGGCCATGTGCAGGAAGGACCTGGGGGCTGCAGCTGTTTGTTCCATCCCTTACCTGCTTGACTACCTGAGCAGATTTAAGGACAGTGCAAATCTGGAGAAGATCTGGGTATTTCTGAGAGCTGAAAAGTTATGGATGTGTCCCAGGCATGTCTGGAATCACTCTGTCTCCAGTGGTTTCCTCCTGTGTTAAACACTTGTCTACAGTCAAGGCCAAACTCCCTCTTCCCGACTGAGCTGTGCCAGGAGTTACTGACCTCCTGTGCCAGGCTCTGGAGCTGCTCTCATCATGCCCAGATTTCCCTCTGGGAATGTTTTCCTGGCTTGAAACCACTGGCCTGAGCCAGCCTGGCTGAAGAGACCTGGGAGGTGGCCACAGATCCATTTGGTGAGCAGCAGACCATTGCCTCTTCCCAGGCTCAGCATCCAGCAGAGGATCTGACACCAGCCCCAGGCACACAAGCACAGAGCAGATCGTGTCCCTGCAGCCCAGCGAGCTGTGACACCTCTGGGAATTTACTGGAAAGCCCTACCACCTCTCTAAGGCTCTCAGGAACAACCATGAGGGAAGGAAATAAAAAACAAGCCCTCAGAAAAACAGAAAATGCTGTGTGAAGTACCTGAAATGCCCCCAACAGTTTAACTAGAGCATGGAGTAAGCTGAGAAAATGTATGAACAAACGAATTAAACAAGTGAGCACACAGCAGACAAGTTGGCATGTAGGTGTCTACTGAGAAAGCTTAAGCACAGCAAAGGGAGAAAAAGCAAACTCAAACCAAGGCATAATATCCCTCACATTTTGGAGCAGAGCTCTCAGACAATGTATCATCCAAACCACTCCAAATTACCATCTGCCAGAATGTCCTTCAAAGAAAAAAGGTCCACAAGTTTGCAAAGCAGCAGTTTAATGTTGTCCTATCAGATGAGAGGCTCTCTCCAAAGAAGATTTTTGCACTTGAGTAAGAAACACTACACAAAAGTGTGACTCTCGTGGCTACTGCTACACTGTCAGGTACCATGAGACAATGAATTTTTGGAGTCCTGGCCATGTCATGGCAGGTACATCTGGAAAGAAGCTCTTTAGCAGCCCCTGTCATTTCATAAGTTACCTGCAAATGTTTCCAGATCCTCTGCATGATCTTCTCTGTATGCAGAAAGAGTCTACATAAAGAACCTGAGCAAACCACTCTGGTATTGTTTCAGAGACAAAGATACACCAGAATATGAAGAGCAGGTTTTGTTTCTCATGTATCTTCCTGTCATCCCTAAATCAGGCTCTGTTTCAGACTAGAAGCTGGATCCTTCCCTGCTATAAACCTGGGTACCTGCTCCTGTCCACGAGGCCCATCACTCCACACACGCTGAGGGCCAACTGCATTGCATATGAGATTGCCAAGTAAATTCAGGTCTGTGCATGCACCATGTGTTAGACTAGGCCATAAATAATTTATGATGCTGGAGAAGGTGACTGTATTTTTAGGTGTAGAAATATGCAGATAAAACAGTCCTGACCTTCAATTTTCACTCTGCACTTCTGATCCTGAATTTGAGTCTATCCAATGAATTTCTAAAGCCTCTGCACCTCTGAATGAGCAACACATCCCCTGCAAAGCCCCAAAACCCATAAATCAAAAAAGGGGCACCAAGAAAACCCATGGAGCCCACAGGATACCTCCTGTAGCCAGCGCTACACAGGATGCCCCAGCATAAGGAAGAGCAGGCTCCTTCCCCTGAACCTCAAACATTCTGCAGGTCAGTCTCCTCTGGATTCTGGCTGCTGACCCTTATTCCTGACCCCACATCTAATCAACACGCCTTTGATGTCAGAGGCACGTGTTCATGGGGCCCAAATCTCTCTCTAAAGACCACGGGAGCTGCTCAAATCAGCACCTTGCCATCCTGAGGCAGCCCAGGATCAAGGATGAGGAAGGACAAAGGTGCTCACTGGGGTGCTTGTAACTGTACCCTCTGTTACATCTTCCCCCAGAGAGAGCTGTCAGTGGGACAGAAGGAGAATTATTCCTTCCTTGGACTTTGTAGAAACAGGGAGCCCAGGGAAACCAAGAAACAATCATAGATTTGACACCACATTACTTCTGGATGTGTCCAATGAGCAAGATAAGGACACACTGAGGAGAAGGGGAAACAGATGTTGCAAGGGCGAGGAAGGGGACAAGACAGTTTTGTGGTGTGTCACAACACAGCTTTTGGTCTCTGCTATCAGAAATAAACCAAGGGAGGTGGAGAGAAGCACAGAGCCCAGGTGAGGGCAGGTCTCACCTGGACAGGGCAGCTCCCAGGACAAAGGCAGCGTGTTCCTTCAGCGAGGCCTCGCTGCTGTTCAGCCCCTCGATCACCAGCCGGAGCCCACCCATGGACAGGAAATCCTTGGCATTGTCCACCTGGGAGAGAGCAGCTTCCATCAGCACAAAGCCCCAGCCCCTGGAGAGCACCTCCCTTCACATCCACAGCATCCCTTCCCTCCTGCTTTGACCAGCAGGGAGTTTTATAAGGGATTAAAAATTCCGAGGGAATGGCTGTGGCTGAGCTTAGCACAGCCCTGCCCATGAGCAGAGATGTCACAGCTGCCCAGGCACAGTGTCCTTGTGTGAGGACATTGTCACACTCAGAAGGCATCACTGGAAACTCAAATACTTTGATTATAGCTATCAAAGCTGCTCTTGACATGTATTTGGCAATTCAGGTGGTGTCAAAAACTCAATATATCTGCTGATGTCAAAAAACTCCAGCTCTTTGCTCTCCCCTGAGCAAGCCTTTACTAGGGATCCAGGGAATTGCATGTTTTGCAAATGAAGTTAATTAATTGATGCTGTAATTGTAGCACCAGGAGTCAGGGATGTTTAGGAGCCTGTCAGCGCCAACAGGGTGCAAAGGGGGCATGGGAGCGAGTAGCATGGGCAGTTCTGGGAGTTCTCCATGAGTTCCATCAACAACTTCCCATGGACAAGGAAGGAAAAAGCCAGTCCCAGCTTGGAGGGGTCATCCAGGAGCTTCCCCAGGGAGCAGCCCCACAATGACTTTTCTAAGCAAACAATAATGGATTAACTGCCAGTAGGGAAAAGTTTGCACATTAGTGGGAATTCATCAGCCTCTGGCTCTAAGTGGATCAGGGGCTAGCCAGGCACAGTCCCAGTGGGCATCTGCTCTTGGAGAGGAGATCAGATAAGGCTCTGAGTGCTCACAGACAAAATTTAGAGAAACAGCACAAACTACTTCAAGTACAAAATTCAGTCCAAAGTCAAATCAATGCATTTTGGTATTCAATGATTTTTTTTTCAGTTTAAAAGAGGATCTGATGAATGCTCAGAACTGCCTGCACAGAAAAATCAGT